CAAAAATCAATAATTTTTTATTGATTCCGTAGGACTTTAATGATTTATTACGTTTGTTAAGACCAAGTACTCTATCGATATACGAAGTGAATCGTCTAATTTTAATGTTAGCAAACGTCAAAAAAATTACTTATTTTCTCAAACTTTGATGAATTTTTAAAATTAAACTACTTGTCGTAAGGCCGTAATAATTTAGTAAGTTCTATAAGACCATGGTATATATCGCCCAAAAAGTTCCATAAAAATCGGCTTTAATTTTTTTTCAACAGTTAATTAGAAGAAAACGGCTTGGTAAATTTTCACTGAAAACTAATCAGTATCATTCCCAACTAATATCTTAAATGTGGACGAAAAGTTTTACACTTTTTTCTAAATTTCAAAGAAACGGCTCGGCCGATCGTCGCACAAAACGGACAAGCGACAGACCTCATTGAGACACATCTAATAGTTTTTAAATTTCTGAAATCGGTTCAGGCGTTTTTGAGCAATCATCGATGAAAGGTCTAATTTTGACAAATGACAAAAAACGATACTAATTTTTGCAAACTTTGACGAATTTTTAAAGCTAAACGAGTTGTCGTATTCTACCAAAAACTCATCAGCACGAATCCCAACCAATATCTTTCGAACGGTTTTTGAATTTTCAAAATCGATTTAGAACTGCGGGCTAAAACGTGAACAAACAAATTTTCGCTTTTCAACGAAATACAAAGAAACGGCTTGACTGATCGTCGCGCAAAATTGACAAACGCTAGTCCTCATCGCGATACATCGAATGACTTTTTGAAATCGGTCCAGCCAGTTTTGAGAAAAAGTCAATTTACGGCAAAAAATCAGTTCACACACCGCACACACGCACACACACACACATACACACACATACTTTTTCCAAATTTGGTCTCATTCGATTCAGAATGGCTTGAAACGTCGAGAAAACATAAAATTAGAGAATCGGATTTTTTGATGAAAACAAACTTCTCCTTCGGGAAGTTAATAAAAGTGAATTTTAATCAAAAGTATTTATCGTATTGCAAAATATAATTTATGTTTATTTTTTAAACGATTTTTTTATCGAAAAATAAAAGTAATAAATAAAAATCGGAATAAAACATTTGAGTTGTTAAACAATGTTGTATATTATCTTTAAAATCAATGACACATAAGGTGGATACAAAAACTATTTACATCCATGATAAAATTCATTTACGAAATTGTTATATATATAGCGTCATTGAGTATTTACTTAAATATCATATTCTTATATTTTTACTATAAGCAAAACAATATCGCCTTATTAGCTAGAGGTGTACTTTCTAAAACTTTATCTAATTCAAAAACGAGTGATATGAATTTTTCTATTATGTTTATATATACATACACATATACGTATAGATCCACACACACCCATTTATATATATATATATATATATATATAAATGTTCTTAATTATTTACAAGTGAGAAAGTTTATTAGCATTATTATTTACATAAAGTGCAGACTTTAGGAAAATGTTTAAACCATCGTCAATATCAAATATTACATGATATAAATAAATTCTGTGAAGATTGCTCTTTACAATAAAGACATTTTGTGTTAATTGAGATAAATATTGAAACATCATTATTTATTAATATTTCCAAAAAAGTCGTTAGTACAATTCACTCTAATAATAGGTAAAAAATTATATTGAAAACTGCAAAATATTTGAACAGTGATATTATTTTTGCTCAGATTTACGATATCCTACACTAATTTTTTAAAATCCTACACTTATTTATCTTTTACTGTTTTCGAGTGATTTTTCTCTAAAAATTATAATAATTTTATGTTTGAAATCAACTTTTCTCCTAAAGATTTTTGTATTATAAATGCAATCGTCACAAAATTTATTTACGAATATAAATACATATGCCTTAATTTTTAACGAATTAACAATTTCAAAATTTTATGATAAATTCATCTTATTAAATTAAATAATTTATTCTTAGTACTTAGTTTTTACAAAATAAATATTTACGTTACATAATATATTTTATATTATAATCTTAAATATATTCTTTTCATATGTACAATAATAACCATTAATATTTTCGAATATATACAAATATGTTTAATATTATAAGTGAACATTATTTAAAAATTTTATTTTAATTTTTGTATTGGTTTCAAAATATTAGTATACAAAAAGAAAATAGTTAAATCTGTTTTGTGATAAATTGGATAAAAAATAATAGAAATTTGATGCAGTAATTTTTATATGGTATATAATCGACCCTGAATAACCAAAAAACTAAACGCAATTATTTAGCGATATTAGTAAAATTATATCAGTTGTAAATATAGATATCTATGTAAAATATTTGGCTCTCACTTATTTAATTAGAAAAGAAACCTTTATGAGCAGGAAACAAGTGAAACTTGTCCAATTGAAAAAAATATTAGGAATTTATGAATTATCTCTTCTTGTAAGAGTGTCTCTTCATAAATTTTTTAAAAATAATAATCAAAATAATAATTGTCACAGTAGATAAACAAATACCGTAAAGAAATCATTTTTTTCTCAGTATTGTGTAATTCTCATTCTCAATATCTCAAACTGTTATTTTTACAGGGTAAATACGGACAAAATGACATGGAGTTTGTTTTTTAATCATATCTTCTATATATATATATATATATATATATATATATATATATATATAAATAAGTCGGGTTTTCCTTCCTGACGAAATAACTCCAGAACGCACGAACCGATTTCGACAATTTTGCATTCGTTGGAAATGTCTCGGGTTCCACAAGGTTTATAGCTAATTGGTGGTGCATGACATCGTGCCCTAATGCTTAATAATTAGCTTGTTCTGATAATTCTCACTAATGCAAACTGCTGGAACTTCACCCACCGTAATTAAAAACTCGAGTAATGACATTAGTGAGAATTATCAGAATTATGCTTGGTTAAGTCAACGAGCAATTCTTGCCGCAAAGAATAATGATGTACACGCACTGAATTTCAACATTCAATCGAAAATTGCTGGCGATTTGGTGACATACAAATGATTCTGACTGGTCTTCCATTTGACTTCAAACGATTGAAATTTCCAGTTCGCCTTGCGTTCGCAATAACAAGTCGCAAGGCCAATCGCTTAGTGTTTGCGGGATAAATGTCAAATAGATTATTTAGAAAATCATTGTTTTTCATATGGGCAGTTAGGAAACCTTCCGCTTTGTCTGTGTTAACGTAAGACCAAAAAACAAAAAATGTGGTTAACCAAAGAGCACTTCAATGAAACGGATAATTTGCGGATTCACTTTCATTTACTTAGAGAAGTTCAACTAAAAAACACTTCATTTTTGTAATCGAAATAAATTCATCACTGTTGTGTAATAAAATCAAATTTTTCCTTTTCAAATATAAAACAAACAAAAAATTTCTTCATCTTTCTCACGAAACCATCTGGGGCGAAACGGAGTTCGTCGGATTTGCTAGTTTATTTATATAATTATAATTATAATTTTATTATATCCATATATACTACTTTTTCACATAAGCCATTTTCTCCATATATGTCATTTTCTCGATATATGCCATTTTGTCCGTATATTTCCAACTAGTACTTTTTTTGTACAGTAAACATACTTGAAACATTAGCTATTCTGAAAACATTAAACTTCTCTTCCACTAGTTAAAATTAAGGAAGTCAAATATGTTTTAAACTTGCAACTTGTTCGAATTTCAATCAATGTTAGAACAAATTATCCCTATACTAATTTGACTATAATTTGGTTGATTTCATACATTTATTACAAAATATAAAATAAATGCGATAAAGTGGTCGTCCTTTAAATTGTTATTAAGTAGCTTAAATAAATAATAACTATTATTAATTATTTATAATATCAAGTTCATGTAAAATTAAATTCGATTGTGAAAGTAACACCCTGGTGATGAAAATTTCTTGGCATTCATTTTTTTGTTTATCCAAATATAGTGAGCATAAATATTAATATTTATGGGCCAATTCTGCTGTAAAAGAAACCAATGTTATGGTAAAACTATGTTATCCTGAATTTGCATATAAAATGGTACTAAAAACTATCAATATGCTGTGTATTTGCTGTGCAGTTAAGCGTTTCAAATGTAAAATGTTCTCATAACTGCACCTTTGTGATGTGTCATAATAACAAATGCGAGAAGTTAAATTTTATGTGTAAAATGCCTGATCGCACAGCAAATACATAATTTTTTGATAGTTTTCAGTACCGCCTCATATGAAAAATGCAGCGTAACAAGGCGTTACCAAGACAGTGGTCAATTTTGGTCTGAATGCATGTTTTTCAAATTTCATAATCCATCTTATCGCAAACCAGAAATTTCTTTGATATTTAAGATCGACTTAAATTGTCAAATTGATCATTCCAAGCTAACAAACGCATGTATAAATAAAATCTATCATCAATTAATCATCGATCCAAATAATTAATGATATATCAATGTTAGATGATCATTCATTTTTTAATCATACATGTTTTACATACCCAAATTTTTATATAAACACATTTCGAAGGAGAAAACTTACTTGGTTACTTAATGCAATATTGCATTCAAAAGTACGCAAATATACATTATATGATTAATAAACTGATTGTATACATATTACTTTTAATATTTATCACATTTAAACCACTTCTAAAATAATTAAATATTATCTATTATAACTTATTTTATCACTTTTCAAGCCAGATGCACTGAACTTCAGAAATTTTGATAGACGATATATTTTTAGCAGAAATATTCGTTCTCATTCAACTCTTATAATTGTTTAATGCAATTGGCAGTTCAATATATATTACATAAATTAAAATATATCAGATCTGTTAATAGAATGAGTTATTGTAAATTTTTAATACAACTTACTTGTAATGTGTAGAATCTTATATTTAATTAAAATTATTCTCCTTTTATAAATTTGGAGAAAAGGCCGTTAGCCGGAAACCTACAGTCAGACCGTTGATTCTCTTTTGACTATGTTAGACAGATCGGACGAATTGTCTTCTTCCGTCAGGCTCGTCATTGGCCTAGAAATCTGAAAGATTATAACATATTATTAATAATATTATAGAGTAATATAAAAAATCAGAACATATATAAACTTGAATGACATTGTGCCTTGAGACAAATTATTGGGACCTCCTTCTTTTGAAAACATGTTTTGAATTTTTCAAAGAATAAAAAAATATATCAATTCTTAGACAATGTTCACATCATTTGTTACATAATTCATCAGAGTTAGAATTCTGTTTTGTTTACAAAATAATGACCAACAATATAATGAAAATCATCTCTTATTAAATATGCTCATAATCTGAAAATTATGTATTCATGAAAATCAAAATTGTTTAGAACTCATTAACTTCCCGTAGGGAAAGTTATAGTAACCGCAAAAAATCGAAAATCATACATTAGAAAAAATAGATGTAAGTGTGTGTGTGTTTGCATACAAATGTTCGCCGACGATTTCGAGAACATAGTCCAACCAATTTGAATGATTTAAAAAAGATTCGTTTTTTATTGATATAGAGGCGTGCTGATTAGTTTTTGGCGTAAGCAGGCCTAGCCGTTTTGCAGATACGAGGCAAAACAGTGCCAAAAATGGTAATTCAGTTTTTAAGAGAACGGAGCGTGCGATTTCAGTAATTCAGAAAATATTCCACTTGTATTGACAAAATGAAGAACTGATTAAATTTTTGGGAAGCAAGTCTAGCGGTTTCGGAAATTGAGCAGAAAAAGTACAAGCTAGTTGTGTATGGCATCGTGCCTTAACGGAAATTGCTGGAACTTCCCGTATCGTAACAAAATGATCGAGGAATATTGAATGTTTTCAAATAGATTTTTATAAATATTGTAACATTGTTTAATATTTATAAGAATTATATAAACTGAGTTGCAAAGTTGAAATTATTTATTAGAATTAAAATTAAAATCTGAATTATTTTCGATATACAAAAAAAAAAAATCGAAAAAAAACATTTTTTTTGAAAAAATAAAATTAGAAACAATTAGAAAGTTATTTGAATAATTCAAATCGGATGCTTAGTTCTCTCAAAAACTGCCATTTATTACTGGAATATCATTATTTATTATTGGACCTGCTTTTGCTAAAAACTAATCACCTCTTCTCCAATCATTACTAATTGAATGTTTTTTAGATAGTTCAAATAGGATGCTCCATTTTCCCAAAAGTTGATTTCTATTTTCTGCACTCTATGCTCCGTATCTCCGTAACAGCTGAACCCGTCTTTGCCAGGATATAATCAGCACATCTCCCTATCAATAGGCATCAAATGTTTTTTGAACCATTCAAATCGGTTGATCTGTGCACCCGAAAACGTGGACGAAAAAATGCGGATATACAAAACATACACACACATCCATTTTTTCTGAGGTATGTCAAAATGTTCAGAAACCTTCAAAACGTCGAGAAATGCAAAAATTTTCATTTTCAATTTTCGGCCCATTACTATAACTTCCATATGGAGGGTTTATAATAAGTATGAATTTTATCAAAATTTCTATGGGTTCCGTAACATTGTTTATCAGTATGACTGCGACGCGGCGCTTCACGTGCTTCCATATTTCATCTCTAAGCAGCTAAAGCAGCGCGATTGTTTTCAGAAAAATGTTCAAAATTTCCAAAATATTTAGAAATTCAAAAAATAAATTCAAAAAAGTAATTTTTTTAAGAATTTCAAGATTCCCAAAAATCAATTTTTTCCAAAGAAAAATTTGGATATTTAAAAAAAAATTGGTACGGGAAGTTCCAGCAATTTGCCTTAATACATGATCAAAATTTTATATTTTACATGATATATGTTTAATAAGTTTTTGATTAATTTCGTCTCAAATTACCAAATCTTAGTACACAAAATTTAAACTATTTGCATTGTTTATAAATTTTTCTGGAAACAGATTTTGTTTCATGGTAATGGTCTATCTATATCTTAAAATTAGTAAAAATCCCCTATTTAAAATGAAAGACCCGTATAGAAATGATATCATCGAGAGCGAATGACGAATCTTTGCACTTCGACTTTGGCACTCGACTCGGCCGTAACGCACTTCCGTTGCATTTATACGGATTTACATCCTAGTCGCGCTAAAGAAGTTTTATTTCATAAAAAAAAAATAAAATAAAAATACATACTGAATTTCTAGGCAGAGGTCGCATTGGTATACTGGTGACCGCATTCACATGGGAAGGCGGCGGTCCGTGGTACATGTTGGTCACACCCGCTACGCCGCCGCCGTAGCTCGGCCACATGTGCCGGGGGATGGCGCGCGCTGGGTACAACTGAAAGTAAAAATATTAAATTAAATAAATTTATTTAATACCAGCATGCATAGGGTAAGAGCTGGGCTTAAGAGTCCGTGGGTAAAAAAGTTTACCATCATCATCTCAAAAACAATTAAAGTATGGTATTTTGACTATTTAGTATATATCACATTATCACCATCATTTAAAAAACTAGTTGGTATTGGTATTTTGCCTTGAGGCAAGTTACATGAACTTCTCGATATGTGTAAATAATCTACTTAATCATAATTTTTTACATATATTTGAAAACCAACGATCACGTTAATCGGAGTATTTTCAAAAAGCAAATTTTCACAAATCCATAACTTTTATAATTATTTTCGTAGGACTTTAATGGTTTAGTATGTTCACTAAGGTCAGGTACTCTATCGCAATACTAAGTAAATCGTCTAAACATAAAAAAAACTACTCATTTTCCCAAACTTTGATGAATTTTTAAAATTAAACTACTTGTAGTAAGGCCGTAATATTTTAGTAAGTTCTATAAGACCATGATATATATCACCAATAAAAGTTCCATAAAAATCGGCTTAAATTTTTTTTTTCAACAGTTAATTACCAGAAAATGACTTGGTAGATTTTCACCTAAAACGAATCAGTTAGTTAACAAAAAACTATTTGCACTTGAGTTAATAAAATGTCTGGATTGGAAGAATATTTTATCCCGTACCCCATAAATAAAAATAGTGCAAATAATAATAAGTATAAGAAACGTAAGTTTATTGAAGTAATTTGTATTATTCGTGGTAACTATATATTTTTCAGGTTAATAAAATGGAAATTATTTTTATATGCAAGACAGATACTACAACTGTTCAAAGAATGAAACCGTATCGCTAGCAAAAAAAAACGAGTAATCAATGATTGTATGTTAATTTTGATTACATGAAGTTCTTTAAACACAATTACATGACAAGTGAAATTGTGAAAACAATATTTATTTAGGCGTTGTTTAACATATTAATTTTCTGCATTTTTATAGATATTAAAAAATATTGAAGCAGTACAGCTTTATTCTAACATGCCGAAGATATATCTCTCTCAGAATTATATCTTAGACACTTTTGGAAGTTTAGAGAAAGTCTAAATTATTTATAAATGATGAAGAAGAAATTGATATTCAGATTTATTACTCTAAACAAGAGATCAAGCACAACAATGGTTTGTATAGCTGTGTATTATTTATCTACAGATATACTTTATAACGAACATCTATGTAGTTTATTCATTGCTAGTGTTAATGAAATTATTCAAGATTGTTATATTACAGCTGGCCACTGTGTGAACGAATATTATAGAATTTATTAATCAGCAATTACTTCATTTCTCTTATGAAGGTTAATTTCTAAATGCTAATTACAATGACAAACCGATCATATCGCATGACTTTAATCCCATTATTGTTTTCAAATATTATAAATATTTTTAATGCTATTATAAATTTATAATTTATTATTATTAATTTCCCGAAGGAGAAGTTTATGTTTTCATCAAAAAATCCGATTCGCTAATTTTATGTTTTCTCGACGTTTCAAGCCATTCTGAATCGAATGAGACCAAATTTGAAAAAAGTATGTGAGTGTGTGTGTGTGTGTGAACAGATTTTTTGCCGTAAATCGACGTTTTCTCCAAAACGGATGGACCGATTTCAAAAATTTAAAAGCCATTCGATGTATCTCGATGAGGACTATCGTTTCTGAGTTTTGTGCGGCGATCGGCCGGGCCGTTTCTTTGTAAATTGCAGAAAAGTGAAAAATTTTTCGTCCACGTTTTAGCCCGCAATTCTGAATCAATTTCGAAAATTCAAAAACCATTCGATAGATAGTAGTTGGGAATCGTGCTGATTAGTTTTTGGTAGAGATCGACCGGGCCGTTTTCTTGTAATAAAGTTTAAAAAAAAAAATTTCGACGATTTTTATGATTATTTTTTTGACGGTAGATACCATAGTCTTCTACATCATACTAAAATATTACGGCCCTACGACAACTCGTTTAGCTTTAAAAATTCGTCAAAGTTTGCAAAAATTAGTATGGTCTTTTTGGCATTTGTCAAAATTGGAATTTTCATCGACGTTTTCTCAAAAACGCCTGAACCGATTTCAGATATTTAAAAAGCATTTGATGTATCTCGATGAGGATTATCGTTTCTCAGTTTTGTGCGACGATCGGCCGAACCGTTTCTTTGTAATTTGGAAAAAAGTGTTAAACTTTTCGTCCACATTTACGCTCATCCTACCGAACCGATTTTAAAAAATCAAAAACTGTTCGAAAGATATTAGTTGGGATTGGTGCTGATTAGTTTTAGGTGAAAATCTACCGAGCCGTTTTTTTGTAATTAACTGTTGAAAAAAAGTTAAATTTTCGTCCACATTTAAGCTCATCCTACCGAACCGATTTTAAAAAATCAAAAACTGTTCGAAAGATATTAGTTGGGAATGATGCTGATTAATTTTAGGTGAAAATCTACCGAGCCGTTTTCTTGTAATTACCTGTTGAAAAAAAATTTAAGCCGATATTCATGGAACTTTTTTTGGCAATATACATCATGGTCTTATAGAACTTACTGTAATATTGCGGCCTTACGACAAGTAGTTTAATTTTAAAAATTTGTCAAACTTTGCTAAAATTATTATCGTTTTTTAACTTCCCGTAGGGTAAGTTATTGTAATGGGCCGAAAATCGGAATTGAAAATTTTTACATTTCTCGACGTTTTGAAGGTTTCTGAACGTTTTGGCATACCTCAGAAAAAATGGATGTGTGTGTGTGTGTGTGTGTGTGTATGTATGTATGGATACAAATTTTCGCCCACGTTTTCGGGCGTACGGATCAACCGATTTGAATGGTTCAAAAAACATTCGATTCCTATTGATAGGGAAAAGAGCTGATTAGTTTTTGGCAAAGGCAAGTCCAGCCGTTTCGGAGATACGGAGCAAAGAGTGCAGAAAATAGAAATCGAATTTAAGAGAGAACGGAGTATCCGATTTGAATGATCTAAAAAACATTCAATTAGTAATGATTGGGAGAAGTGTTTATTAGTTTTTGGCAAAGGCAGGCCCAGCCATTTTGAAGATACGGAGCTAAATATGTAAAAAATGGCAATTTTTGAGAGAACTAAGCGTCCGATTTAAATGATTCAAAGAACTTTCTGCTTGTCTTAACAAAATAATTGATATTGGAAAAAAAAATTCTCCAATTTTTTTTTTTTTTTTTTAGTTTTTTGTATATCGAAAATATTTCAGATTTTATTTTTAATTCTGACTATAGTTCTAATATACTTTACAAATAATTTCAACTATGCAATTCAGTTTATATAATTCTTATAAATATTAGACAATGTTACAATATTTATAATAATCTATTTGAAAATATTCAGTATTCCACGAACATTTCGTTACGGTACGGGAAGTTCCAGCAATTTGCCTTAAGGCACGATGCCATAATTGCCTCAAGACAGAATTCCACTTACAGCTAGTTTAAAGTAGGATTAATGAAGTATATTATTTACTCATTTTTTTATTAAGTCGATTATTTACACATATCGGGAAGTTCATGTAACTTGCCTCAAGGCTAAATACTAAACCAACTAGTTTGAATATGTATAAAGGTTGACATTAAAAAATGTGTGAATCACGAGTATTACCATATTACTGATGAACATTATTCAAAATTGTTATATGATGTATTTATTTTTAATTTAAATGCCATCTCATACAATAGCAATAAAAGTTTTACTTCAATCGCGTGTTTCACAATATAATTGCTTAAAGTCAAATAGGAAAAAATGGAGTTTTCATACAATGTAAAAAAACAATTATTTAAGTGTTTTTTTACTAACCGTTTGATTATTTAGAATCATATGCTGTTCTCCTGGCGGTATCCTTTGCAATGGACTCGGAGGAATATTCATATTCATGCCTCCAATTCTACAACATTGACTAATCACTGGCGAGCCGCCTCTTGGAGCAGCTATCGTTGCGACAGTGGGTTGGCGACGCAGAAACTCTGCCTATAGGGTGAATAGATATATAAGTTAGTAAGTATACAGAAACTACACATTACAACCAAAAAAAGGTAGTAAGTATCAGGAATTTGAAATATAAATCTGAAACTTACAACATTACTCATTATTACCTGCTCGTCGGCTTCAGCATCCGCCACAACATCAGGTCCCCGTTCGTCACCACCGCCCGCTAAACCATCATCTGGACAAGCAACGCCCGCTCCACCGCCATTGGCGTCTTTGCCTCCAGTGGCAGTCATTAAAAGGGCGGCATGAACACCACCACCACTGGTCATGGTGTCACTTTTGTCACTTGGCCCAGGAGAAGCTGGCTCACCATGTTTTGGGGCTGCTCCGTCAATACCGCCAGTAACACCACCACGACAACGCCTGAAGTAGTTCAATGACGAAATGAGATAGAAAACAAATTATGAGGCGGGAGAATATTAAACATGTCTAAAACCGTATTTAAATTATAAACATTATTTTTACTTAAATTTCTTTAAACGTAATACATGAAATCAACTATGCAAATTCGAATCCAGGGGTCAATTCAACGATAAATAGAAATGTCATGACTACACTATGTTGGTATCCTATCTTTGTATCAATTTGCAATTAATGGGTTTTATGTGAATAACGCCTGATTGCACAGCAAATGCATAGTTTTCTGACAGTTTTTACTACCAATTCATATAAAGATAGGAATTGATACTCCTTAATTGAAATTTTGCTCCAAAAAAAGTTATATTTGGAAACGGTAATTCCCATTTATCAAAATCTAATCGCAAACTTTTCGTTACATTTTTTGAAATATTAAAAATTTGTTGCTATAATGAAATGAGTCATTTATAATAGTCAAAAAGTAACTGCTATGAGTCATTTATAATAGTCAAATAGCGATACATAAAAAATATTTAAAATGCAAGTAATTAATTTTAGTCGACAATAAAAATACTAAATACTTGAGCATTTTACTTGATCAGTTCTATTTATATAATGAAGATCACTACTAATATACACATATACCCATCTTTTCGTAATATTAAACGTGATTACTCCCAATGACGGTATAATGAATAAAAGGTTATCGATGAATTAAAATTAATTAGTAAAGTTTGCGAAATAATTAGTAATTAAAATATACATACCTCTGAAGTCTCAGCATAGCTGCTACTAAAAGTGCTACTGTTATTATTGCAAGAATAGCCCCAATTGTTAGCGATAAAGCTGGAGTCATCCGGAAGAATATATTTCTACGCGGTTCTAAAATAATTAAATATTTATTATAGTTTTTTAATATTACCATCAATAATTTACTCAGTAATAGTAAATTCTATCTCAACAGGTAAAATATAATAAATATTAATTAATATTTTTCAATTTGTTTAAATAAAAACCTTTTTCTGAAGTTAATTGCTTTTCGGGTAGTCTGAGGGTTGCAGCTTGTAATACTACAGGTTCTCCACGACCTTTGGCGTTGAAAGCATATACTCCAATTAAATACCTTCCACCAGGATTTAGACCAGCAACTGCGAATCTAAAAATAATAATAGAATATTTAATTAAATTTAATATAAATAAAGCACTGACGAAGTAGAATAAAAATACAATATAAGAAATTTTTAGAAATTAAAATATATAGTTTAGAAAATCTATAGTATAATTGATTGTGGTATAATGGAAATTTCTAAAAATATTTTTAATTCAATGATAATTTGTATCGATATAATTACCCATAAATTTTATGATATACTAGCAAACCCGGCGAACTCCGTTTCACCACCAGATGGTTTCGTTTTATGTAACATTTTGTTTGGTGATCGAAAGATGAAAGTGAAAGACGAAGAAATTTTTTTTTGTTTTATATTTAAAAAAGAAAAATAATTATTTCATTTCACAACAGTAATGAATTTACTTCGATTACAAAAATGAAGTGTTATTTAGTTGAACTTCTTCAGATAAATGAAAGTGAATCCAAAGTAAATATTGAATCGAAGCGTTATACGTGTACGAAAATTATTCGTTTCATTGAAGTGTTATTTGGTAAGCCACATTTTTTTTGTTTGTCACATGAAATTAACTGAACAGAGAACAATGAGTAGCTATCAAACAATGTATCTACCGTCGCCATCTACTTAAAATATTGCTTTGTAGTACATGCTAAGTATCAGAGGTTTTTTCGCTTTTCTGTTTTTTTTTCAGTTGAATTTTTCTTCAATTTTCTTTGCTATAAGCCTCACGGAGCCCGAGACCATTCTAACGAATGCAAAATCGTCGAAATCGATTCGTGCGTACTGGAGTTATATCGTCAGGAAGGAAAACCTGACTTATTTTTATATAATACATAGATAATAATTACTAAATTTTATGATATATAACTAAATTTTATGATATATAATTACTATGGTAATAATGTGATTATCAAAATGATATTGCACAATAAATAAAATAACATACATAATTAATATTTTCAGTTTCAGGTATATACAGAAAATAATACCTATCATCCTATATTAAATGTATAAATTTAAGTGCAAAAATTGTCTTAAAATTATTTACTTATCGATTCAAATAGTTTAATGAGTTATCTAGATTGTTTTACCTGGGCACTGGAGAAGTGAGATTTGCCCTTGTCGTTAAAGTTCCCGAATCTCTTGCTTCTAATAGAAAAGATTGAGGAAGACCTCCATCAAATCCAGCAGAACAACGAACAGTTAGAGATGTCAAAGACACGTTTGTTACAGTACAATTGTGGACTTGGTCAGGACGACCTGTAAATTATAAGAGAAAAACATATATATTGCTAACGTTTATTAAGTGTACATGAATCTGTTCGTAGTTATATAATCCAAAAATAAAATTTAATCCTCGTTTCTATTTTAAATTTATCATTCACTTTTGGACTTAATAAAAAATATTGTACGAAAAAATCGCGCCAAATTTAACAAAAATTTGTTTAAAATTATACAAATTATTTTAATTACAAAATATTTATAATTTATATCGGATCCTTTAATGATTCTCATTAATTACTTACCAGCTGCAATAATGTGATAAACACAGGGAACTCTTTGGCTGCCAATGCTATTTGTGGCCCAACAGAGTAGTGTACCATAATCTAGTTCGGTTACTGGAGTGTAGGTCACCACACTGCTGACAAAAGTGGCCCCATTCATATTGTCCAGAGCGCCGGTGCTATAATTAGATAAACAAATATTTTTGAGAATTATTCACATACAATTTTTACATATATTTAATATATATCAAATATATAATTGTAAGTATTAGTGACTGGTGGGTAAAATGATTATTAGTTCACTAATTTGCTCTATATCAATTTGTGACCTTGATGTTGATACAACTATGTAGCTAACCATTAATCATAATAAACTATTTTAAAGACCAGACCAGCCTATTTTGATAATCAATAATAATTTTTTTAACGTTCAACTATAATTAAAAGTCCTTAATTTAATATCATTCCAACTATCAGTTTAACAACATATTTCCGTTTTATTTAAAAACTTACGTGTCTTCACTTCTGGCCCTGGCAACGTGGGCTGCTGCAACTTCAATGCTTTCAGCCGAATTATTGAATGTCCATCGAAAAGTTACTTGTGGTGGATTTGCTTCCACTGAACATCTGACACGTGCGCGCTCCTGTTTTGCTACTCCATGAACACGAGGCTGGTTTGGTCTGCAGGTTGGCGCGACTAAAAATTACAATATCATTTTGAAAACTTATTTAAGAAGACGGAATTTATAATTTTACATTTTGTTACATCTTAGTTACAATATACAAATTTAAACATTCACAAAATTATTTTGTAATTTTTTATTATATGGCTTATTTGGATGGCAAGCCAGTAATCCTATTACTGACATATATGACTACACTAAAGAGTATTTTTATACCGGATATTATTATAAACAACTATGTCAATGGAAGACAATTTTCATTTGAGATTATATTTGGTTTTTGGTCGGGCTTGTGATCGAACCATCAAACCCGGGACTCGTTTGAACGTTTAACTCTTACTCTAACTAACAGACAGAAATAAGAAGCTTGCATATATTGCAAAACCCTCTTTCACCGTTTTGAGCCTGGTGAAGTTTTGTTCGGAATGCTACGATGTATGATTTGTTTCCTTTGAGCAATATGTGCTGATATCCATAAGAGGACCAAACAATTAATTTGTGACTGCCTTCCTAAAAATTAGTATTTCAGTAGGTCCTTGCCTTTTATGTCATTTGGTTCGTACTATATAGACAATAAGGATTTTATAATTAGCTGCATTTTTGCTTAATAACTATGTTATTATAGTCTGAATGAGGACCGAACAATTAATTTGTGACTACTTAAATAAAATACTATCTTACTCGTAGTCAATATGCCAAAAATAAGTAAAAACGATTGAGACTGATTATAATATCATTGAACACATAAATATCATAAAAAGAGTGCGCGTAAGGTTCACACGCGATGGAAGTAAAACTTATTTGCTACTGTACAAGATGACATTTAAGTAATAATAAATACATCATATAACAATTTTGAATAATGTTTATTAGTAATATGGTAACACTCGTGATGCATATATTTATTAGTGTCAACCATTGTACACATTTATATAGTGATAAATTATAAATTATATATTTATAATAGCATTAAAAATATGTATAATATTTAAAAACAATAATGTAATAAAAGTCATACTTCAAATATAGCATGATCGGTTTTGTCATTGTAATTAGCATTTAGAAATGAACTTTTATAAGAGAAATGAATTAATTGCTGATTAATAACTTCTATAATATTCGTTTACAGAGTTGATTATGTTAAACAACGCCTAAACAAATGTTGTTTTCGCAACTTTACTCATCATGTAATAATTGTGATTGAAGAACTTCATGTATATAAAATTAACATACATTCATTGACTGATGATATTTTTTTTACTTTTTCGCTGGCGATATAATTTCATTCTTTGAACAGCTGTAATATCTGTTTTGCCTAAAAATATTTTCCATTTCAACAACTTCAAAGATTTATAGAAACTACGAATAATATAGATATAAAATTATTTCAATAAACTTATGTTTCATACACGGTGCAAATGCTGCATTTGTTTTATTATTTTCATTAAAATTATTTACTGGGGTTAGGGTAAAATATTGTTCTGATTCAGGCATTTTTCATTAAATCAAGATTTGTACTACGATGTAACTTGAAAATGTTTATTTATCTATGCCGATTTCTTAGTTGATATCGGTACGCATACAACGTTGAGGCCGGTACGCATACAACGACGGATCTCTATTCACATACGCGAAGACTAATCGCAATAGACCCGTATATGAAATGATATCATTGAGAGCGAATGGCGAATCATTGGCACTCGACTCTTATCTTATCTGCCGTAACGCACTTCCGCTGCATTTGTACGGATTTACACCCCAGTCGCGCCTAAAAAAGTTTTACTTCCAAAAAAACACCATGTCATTTTGTCCGTACTTCTCCGTATGCTTTAATTTACAGAATAAATACATATACATTTTCAACAAATTAAACATTATTTTCAAGAACATATATTAATATTGTATATATGTGCACTAGAGTTTATAGTATGTTGAAATTAGTATATAGCATTTTTGCCAAAAAGCCATACAAATGACCGGTTTTTGGCGAAAATTATGGAATTCGAAAACCGGCTTTTTAGCGAAAAAAGTCGGTTTTTACTGTATATGTGGAAAATGACAAATATAACCAAATATAAAATATAGATGAAAGTGTTTTGATTCTTGAAATCATATCGGTTCACTGGCATTTCATATCTTATCAGTCTGCAATGGTTCCCAGAAAGGTTTTGTATATATTTAATTAGATTTTTATACCAATGTATATATTAATTTAAATCAGTATGACTTCTTCTTGAAGAAGTAACTTCCTCTACTCAAACTTAAAATAAGAGTTTTAAACTCTAGAAGCCACAAAGAACAAAAAACTTAGAATTATTATATCAGGCTTTGAAAACAATTAGGCATAATTCGATCGCAAATGTGAGAGTATTTTCTATTTCAGGAAATTTTGTGAGTAAACAAAGGGCACGTCTAAGTAGCAATTCGGTAGACGTTCTCAGTTTTTTGAAATCATATTTTATTAAAATTAATTAAAATTGCTCGGAATAGGTAATACCCGAGTTTAGCTTAATTGTTTTTAAAGCTATAATTGATATTAACAAGTATGTATCAACATGTATCTAATATTTTTTTATTTTATTTCAATTTAATAATTTTTTTTTATTTAAAAAAGTATTATTTTCATTTAATCGAAAAATTTCCCTTTACTATCATAAAAATATTTTCATTCTTATATGTGAAAATGATGCATGAATAACGAATAATTATTTTCAAAGTTATTTAATCAAGATAAACTATTATTTTTAGTTCTACTAATTAAAATTAAAATAATTTTGTTTACTATATATAAAATTGAACAACAAATAAATTCAGTCAAATACTGCTCTAAATTACACTAAATTTGCGGATAAATTACAGAACATTCGAGCAAAAATTTATTTTTTATTTAAAATTCGAAAACCGGTTAGAACCGGTTTTTTAGTAAAATTAAAATTCGAAAACCGGTTTTCTGAAATGTCGGTTTTTGTATAAACCCTGCTCTATATATTATATATTGAATATTATAGAGCATGTAGGTCTAGTGATGGAATAGATGGAATAGTTTTGCATATGACAAGTGTGCATATAATAGTACTAACATAGAACGTTCAGCTGGAACGGTTTGCTGGGCGCGTCCCCTTCGGCGTTGAATCCGACGCAAGTGTAGTTTCCGGCTGTCGTGCGACTGACGCCCTGCAGCACCAGTGACAGGTTACTTATTATAACACCTTGGCCGACGTTGTGAGGCAGAGGACGACCCTGAAAATATCAGACACATTCAATTACATCGAAAATGTAATAATATTAGTTGTTGAGTGTAACAGTAAAACAACATGCTGGTAATAAAATAGATTAAGAAAAAAGATAAGTGTTATATCGAAGATTTATTAAGAATCATTCAACCCTAAACCTACTGACACTATATCTACCGCGAGCGGTCAAATTGACCTACAATTAAAAACTTATCTATTTTATTACTTAATTCAGACAATGATTGATTTATTGTTTATTAACTTCCCGAAGGAGAAGTGTATGTTTTCATCAAAAAATCCGATTTGCTAATTTTATGTTTTCTCGACGTGTCAAGCCATTCTGAATCGAATGAGACCAAATTTGGAAAAAGTATGTGTGTGTGTGTGTGTGTGTATGTGAACAGATTTTTTGCCATAAATCGACGTTTTCTCAAAAACGGCTGGACCGATTTAAAAAAATTAAAAGCCATTTGATGTATTTCGATGAGGACTATCATTTGTCAGCTTCGCGCTACGATCGCCCGAGCCGTTTCTTTGTAAATCGCAGAAAAGTTAAAAATATTTCGTCCTGCATATTAATGTAAAATCCAATAGTTTTCGGTACACTTTTGTTGCTTTCTCCTATTTCTATTGGATAATGTTTGAGACTTTTGATAAGTATTTTTTCGGTTTACTTTAAGACTCTGTGAGAAAAATGAAATTTGATTTATACAAATTGCTTCAAAATCTGTGGTTAGTTTTAGAGCAACGATTTATCTAACTAAACAATTGTACAATTTATTCTCGTGCCAGTTCCCAAATATGGAAACCCATTTATTATATATTTACTATTTGACTTCATACATCATCCAGGCTTCGCCTGTAGGTAAGCGGTTAAGCGCGACGGGACCTGGATCAGAGGTCCCGGGTTCGATACCCACTTTGATCAGCCTGTTGTCAGGCGGCAGTGACAACGATTTTCACTTGGAAATATAGATAGCAATATGTTTCCAAGTGAAAATAGCCCTCACCCGGCATTGCTGCACCAATAAAAAGTCAGCCCTATTCGATTAATTCTAATAACAAAATTATCAAATATAGATGAATTAACCATTGGGTTACCATCTAAATAAATACGAAGAAAGGAGAAGTTTCAGCCCAACAGCTCATAGGACGTAAGGTTCTGATTGCTGATCCAAAACTTTATTCTGAATTTGTCTGGTTCATTTGTTATATTTTGTATAAATCTAAATATAAACTCGCCTAATACCATTATTTTTCACCGATCAAATTGACTCGCCGCAATAGTTAGGCGGCGACATAATATTTTTTTTGAAAAATGGAAAAAATGACCAAAATAAAATAGTGAAGAAATGATTATTAGTATATTCTAGGAATTTAAAGTTTAAAAATGTCTAAGCAGTGCACAAAGTTTGAAACGGTCATTTTGCCCAGCGTTGGTAGGTGTACTGTTAATGATTCTATCATATTAAATTATCTGAACAATGTTTAATTATGGTTTATTTATTTTGATTCAATATTTTAATATTTCTATAAATACATTATGTATGTTTTAATATTTCTATAAATACAATATAAAGATAAGAATTAGTAGTTTGCATCATTAGAAAAATATTGAAAATTTCAATTTTGTTAACAAATAGTAGTATTTATTTAAATTACTTACTTACGTAAAATATGACATGCATATAAAAATAATAAATTTCAAAGAGTATAAAAACTTGAAGTATACACATTTAAAAAAATTGAAGCGAAACAATCTGAAATATTTAAATTGAGACTTTTCTTTAAAATTTTGCCAGTTTAGTTCTAAATCTTTAGTTATATTCTGATAAACTTAATTTCACTAACAATAAGTGTGTAAACTGTTTAAAATTTCACCACTGATTTTTAACTAGTTTATTAATGATATTTTATTTGTCGGTATAACAAATTTTATTTTGATGAAAATAACAGTATTAATTAAATTAAATAAAGTACACGCGTCGACAAAATATTTAATAGTTGAGTGTACGTCATGTAGTTTGAAAACATGAAAACATGCGCCGCACACCAAATATACACAACTTTTTTATTTTGCGGACCTGTGTTATAATTAATGTTGCACACATCATGTTTTTATAATATTACTATAATAGTTTTTGATGTATAAGCCAAGTATAATAAGTAAAACAGCTAAGCATTACGTTTTAAATTCTTGTGATAATTTTATAATAGTAAACACCTGCATATTTAATTTATAAAAGTTCAATAAAAATACTAAAGTTTACTTTGGTTTTCTAATAGATGTAAGGCTCTAGATAAAATAAAATCTACATAAAAATTATACAAACTCACATTATATCTCCATTCGACTTTGTACACAGGTGGTACCGCGTCCACCTTGCAGTCAAAGTATACATCAGAACCTTCGCGAATCACATTAGGATCTAAATTGGTTCCGAGTTTTACCTCAGTTTCAGGAAGATCTGAAAATTAATAGTTAGTTAAAAGATATCAGTATTTTTCATTGAAATCTACTAATTAACATTTTTATTTAAACGACGAATAAATTGAAACTTGCATCAACTTTTCGATAAGTTCGATAGAATCAGCCAACTTGTTTGTCATTATAAAGCGTATCATTAATAAGAAATTAAAATCTTATATATGAAAATAAATCCCAAAATGTGTTGGTAAGCGCATAACTCAACAACGCCTGGACCAATTTGGCCAATTCTTCTTTTAAAATGTTTGTTGAAGTCAAAGGATGGTTCTTACATCCCCAAAAATAGCCCTTTTCTTTTTCACATACAAACGTTTTCTAACTAAAACGTAGAATCGATTTTAAGTACATATTAAATTACAAGCACACAATGTATACTCCTTCTAAACGATTATTCGGATTTTGATAAATCATTCTGATGTATGTTAAGGAAATTTTCCAGGATGTATGTGATTAAAAAGTATGGATAAAGTCCTGATATGTATGTGCATTGTAGAAATAAATGAAAAATAAATTGAAAACGAATAAAAATCATATGCCAAAAATTTCAATTTACTTATGAACCAAGACAATATTAGAATATGTATAACAAATTTATGATTATGAAAAAGAAAGATAAAATGTTTACATTATTATTGCTAAAATGCTGCTGAGATGTGCCAGAAATTAAAATAATATAAAATACATTATATTATACGTATGGCAGATTGAATGACACACATATGAACAGGATATGACAAAATGAAGTATTAATCAGGGCGGGTCCTACATTTAATGCGATGCATGAGAAAAATACGAGCGCACGCCTTAGGGGGCGCCAACACAAGATTCGAATATTAAATATAGTTTTTTTTCAATATATAATGTCTTTGCATCTTTTACTAATCTTTCCACAATATTTTTAAAATTCGTAAAAAATTCATTTCATAACAACAAATGGGAAAGTAAAGATGAATACATACAATTCGGCCCTCACGATGTCGATTAAGAGAAGTTTAAGATGCGATTTTGGATATCACAAATAATAAAAAAATAAATTAATTTAATCCAACATGAAGTACCAGTGTTATGTTATGGTAATGGTTATGGTATACCATTTAAAAGACTTTAATTTGCAATATAGTGAGGGAATTGAGACTCATGATTTTATTTAAAGCAGTTCTACATTTAAAATAGCTCAACTATTATTATAAATGTACTAGCAAACTCGACGAACTCCGTTTCGCGACCAGATGGTTTCGTGAGAAAGATGAAGAAATTTTTTGTTGTTTTATATTTGAAAAGAAAAAAATTGATTTTATTATACAACAGTAATGAATTTATTTCGATTACAAAAATGAAGTGTTTTTTAGTTGAACTTCTCTAAGTAAATGAAAGTGAATCCGCAAATTATCCGTTTCATTGGAGTGCTCTTTGGTGAACCACATTTTTGTTTTTTGGTCTGACGTTAACATAAACAAAGCGGATGATTTTCCAACTCGTGAACAGGCAACGTATAACTGTCCATGTGAAAAACAATGATTGTCTAAATAATCTATTTGAAATTTATCCAGCAAACACTAAGCAATTGGCCTTGCAACTTGTTATTGCGAACGCAAGGCGAACTGGAAATTGCAATCGTTTGAAGTCAAACGGAAGACCAGTCGGAATCATTGGTATGTCACCAAATCGCCAGCAATTTTTGATTGAATGGTGAAATTCAGTGCGTGTACATCATTATTCTTTGCGGTAAGAATTGCTCGTTGATTTAACTAAGCATAATTCTGATAATTCTCACTAATGTCATTACTCAAATTTTTAATTACGGTGCGTGAAGTTCCAGCAGCTTGCATTAAGGCGCGATGCCATGCACAACTAATTTTCTTAGCTATAAACCTTGCGGAGCCCGAGACCTTTCCAACGAATGCAAAATTGTCGAAATTGGTTCGTGCGTTCTGGAGTTATTTCGTCAGGAAAGAAAACCCAACTCATTTTTATATATATAGAAGATATACATTTTGGCGTAAAGAGTAATTTAAAAAACAATAATTATTATTTTTAGGTAAACGGTAAATATTAGTATACTATATTAAAAAATTGTAGACATGAGTACAGGTCATCTAGTATATTATAATATTTTAAGCACTCACATTGTATTTGTAACCTCCAACTATCATCAATAGGTTCTTGATGAACTGAAGGGTTTTCCGCCCTACATGTGAGTCTGCTACCAGCATCAGATTTACTGGCCAAGAAGGACAATGTGCTTGTTGTTTGGTTACCGTTATTTGAGGTCTGAAAAAATATAAATATGTATGTTACATAAACATAGTATATTGGTATTTATTATAATTAATACAGCCAATATATTCAAAGAGAATAACAGAAAATGGATAATGATCCAAAGCTAAAATATATTTACTGAAATCCAATTACTCCAATTACCATTCTCAAATATGAAAATAATATTATATGTGCCCCATTCTGCTGTTACATTTTTTGCTACATATCATGATTACATTATTTGTTTTTTTACTATTACAATCTACTACATTATTCAAAATTTAGTAAAAGCCTGCAAAATGTCAAATAGGAAAGTCTTGACGCAAGAAATATTGCTGGTTTTCAAAGTCACTTGTTATGTGGTTAAATTCAAAAACTCCATTTATTAATGATTATTTGTTTTAGGAATGCTTACAGTTTCTTTGGTTTTATCGAGTCTTTGGCCATCTCTCCACCAGGTAAGTTTAGCAGGTGGTCTAGAACCCGCACTTTGACACAGCAAGTCGTATCTTCTTCCAGCAGATAGCGGTTGATTTGCACCCAATATGCGCACGTCCAGAGGTGGAACTGAAGCAAAAAAGGATTTTTAAAAATATAATTTTCACTTAACATGCAGTTTTTTATCATTATTTTTATTGATAATGTATTGTTAGCTCAGATTTCGCTAAAAAATATTTCCCTAATTGACTAATTATTAAATAATTACGATATCTGTCGATCATAGCAGGTTATTCAAATTTGTATCTCAATTGAATGTATTAAAGCTATAAATAAAATTCATGTGAAAAAATTTCCAACCCAAATATATTTTAATACCAATTATTATTAATTGTACAGCATTAGTTTATATCAACATAAAGCTATATAATAATAATTAAAAAATATAACCGCACGTTCAATAAATATTTTTACTAGAATTACTGATGTTGATGGAAATACTTTTATATTTTCATTTTCGGACTTATAGAATAAATTTAGAATAAATTGCACTCGATCCAATTTATTTGATTCAGATATATCATTTTAAAATACTGATATAGCAAGTCTTTACATTAGGATATCACAGATGTAGGCAATAAAAATTTCATATATTTGGTACGAAAAAAACCCTTAGAATTGAAATTATGAGATCTTAAACCACATCAAACAAATAATCCAATGTATAACTAGTGGTGTATGGCACGATGCCTTAGGGCAAATTGCTGCAACTTAACAGAATTAAATAATCGAGCAAAAAATGTTAATAAAGAAATATTGATCAATAGTAAATAGCAATTGTTTTAAATAATTTTAAAGATATAATTACTATTTATGTATTCGTTCATATAATATATGGTGACTAGTTTATTGCTCAAAACGCTTCAAAATGTTTACATTAAGTAGAGTTGTTGAATGAATCCAACTGAGGAAATAATTCTTACGATTAAAATAACGCATATAAAATATAAACATTTTAAACTAGAATGTAAATTTAAAATTTTATTTAAAGTGTAAAATTTTGTATATTTTGAAACATTTTGAAAAAAAAATTCTGGAAATTTTGAAATTTGTTTTAACCGTATAAGTGAACTTTAGAAACTAAAAATATTGGTACGGAACCCAAAATAAATGTGACATAATTAGGACACGTTTAAAATCTCTCCAAAATATCTGATAATTTGGTGTGCATATGTCTAATGATTGTTTTAGACCGCTAAATATATTTTTTTTTAAATTTTAATCTGTGTCTCTAAAACCGCTACACCTGCCTTTCCAAAATTTTTTTAAATCATTCAAATCAGACGCTCCGCCACTTCAAAAACTAGATTACTATTTCTGGCACTTTTTCAAAAGCAATACATACAATAAAAGAAAGATTCTGCTTGGTTTGTGAAATTTCATTAAATTGTTATGATGATTCTGACTGGATTTTAGTACATCGATACTTGATAAATATTGATTGCAAAATGTTGGCAGATTAGTAAACTGGTAATTATTAGTTAATATTTTCCATTGATTTCAAAGAAAAAAATTATGATAACACTAGTCATTATGTTGACTTATTAATAAGAGGGAGGGTGATGGCATAGTTCAGTTTATTTCTTGTTAACTTTGTTTAAAAATATATTTTATTCTATTATATTTATAAGCTTTGTGATTGTTTAAATAATGTTGTGTGGTGTTACATATTTCTGACAATAAAAGTCGTTATAAACCATTATCGTATTTATATCAATTGTCTTTTAACCAATGTTCATGCCTGTCACAACCGTCCTGAGTCTGGGGACTGATTTTATGACTAATGAAGTGTATTAACGGTCAGTATTTTAGTATTTTAGCATAGGCAAATGTTCAAATTACTATTTAACTTACTTTTCTCCAGCTAACTGGTAAATTAACAAAATTATTGCTAATAAAAAAGTGGCACTACCAAACCCAGCCTACCCTTTTACATCAAAATAAAAAAGAGTGCGCGTAAGGTTCACACGCAATTGAAGTAAAACTTATTTGCCACTGTACAAGATGGCATTTAAGTAATAAATACATCACATGACAATTTTGAAAAATGTTTATTAGTAATATAGTACCACTCGTGATGCACATATTTATTAGTGTCAACCATTATACACATTTATATAATGATAAATTATAAATTATAAATTTATAAAAGCATTAAAAATATGTATAATATTTAAAAACAATAATGTAATTAAAGTCATACTCCAAATATGACATGATCGGTTTGTCATTGTAATTATAAGAAATAAAACTTCATTAGAGAAATAAATTAATTGCTAATAAATCACGTCTATAATATTCGTTCATACAGTGGATTATGTTATATATTAAACAACGTCTAAATAAATATTGTTTTAGCAACTTCACTCATCATATAATAATTGTGTTTGGAGAACTTCATGTAAAATTAACATACATTCATTGACTGATGGTATTTTTTTTTTAATTTTTCGCTGGCGATAATCTCATTCTTTGAACAGCTGTAATATCTGTTTTGACAAAAGGATATTTTCTATTTCAATAACTTCAATAATTTATAGAAACTACGATAATACAGAAATTATTTCAATAAACTGATGTTTCATACACGAAGCATTGAAGCATTTTTTTTATTATTTTCAATATAAATATTTATGGGGGGCACTCGATTCTTTTCTTATCTTATCTGCCGTAACGCACTTCCGTTGCATTTGTACAGATTTACACCCAAGTCGTGCCTAAAGAAGTTCTGCATCAATTATTAGGTATTTATAAGAAAATTGATATGCGAGTTACAATGAGTTCTTATAGGATCTAACATTTTCTGCGATAAACCAATTCTTAAGCGATAATATAGTAGTCTAGCGAAAATAAATTTACGTTTCTTCATTCGTTCAGGATAATGTACACCGCATCGATCTATTATTCCGCATAGAACAACTCGGCTGCATATAACTCTAAAGTTCTATATCTTTTAGAGATTTGCATAAAACGTCCATTGAATGGTACCGTAACAGACAATATCTAATTTAAAAGTTTAGTCCGTTTTAAATTGCAAAATCGAAGTTAACGGTCGAATACGCAATTGACTTGAAATTACCGGTGCACCATATTTAATTAAATAGTTCAGGGCGGCTTACCTACACTGGTCGTTTTAACTCGAAGATATTATGGAACTGTTCTGTCGATTTGTTTTTTATTGTTATATAACAATTTAATTAGCAAAAGCATTTCTAAAACGACTTTAAAATAAAACATTCAAAGATAATTTTGAATTAGAAATTGTTTGGATTGGAAATGGGGAAAAATGTTATACATATGGTCGGGCGTTCTCTCGAAAACTGCCATTTAGCTCCGTATCTCCGAAACCGCTGGACCTGCCTTTGCCAAAAACTAATCACCATCTCTCCCCGTCATTACGAATTGAACGTTTTTCGGGTCATTTAAATCCGAGGCTCTGATCTCTCAAAAACTCGATTTCTATTTTTTGCATTCTTTGCTCCGTATCTGTAAAACGGCTGGAGCTGGTTTTGCCAAAAACTAATCAGCATATCTCCCTATCAATAGAAATCGAATGTTTTTTGAACCATTCAAATCAGTTGATCCGTGCGCCCGAAAATGTGGATAAAAAATTGTATCCATACATACATACATACACACATTCATTTTTTTGAGGTATGCCAAAATGTTCAAAAACCTTCAAAACGTGAAGAAATGTAAAAATTTTCAATTTCGATTTCTGGACGATTACAATAACTTACCCTATGGGAAGTTAAAAATGTATGTTCATTACGTTTATGAAAAACAAAAGTTGATTAATTATGATTAATAATTTTTTCAGATTTATTTCCAGTCTAACTTACCTATTTCATACACTGAAATAAGTCGGGTCAATTGACCCGTAGGAATAGATATACGAAAACCGTCGGCACTATTAGTGTTATTAGTGTTAATATAGACGTCATAAACAACTAACCATGATTTGCCATAAGATTTTAGAAAACATCTCAGTTTTAAAAATTCTTATGAACCAACGAAGATTTGATCATCATTGTCATCAATAAAACGGTCATGAGAGAGCACCTTATTACAAAAATTCAAAATTTCTTAATAAACTTTATTTACAAACGTCTCATGACCAAAATTAAAAAAAAAAAACTTATTTTACTTTTTTTATATTTCATAACAAAAATACTTACAGTTCATATCAAGGTGGACTGTTGCTATCGTCGGCTGCGTCCTGTTGCTATTACTGGCTCTACAACTTAATTCGCTATGTAAATCCGACCTAGATAAAGATGGTATATGCAATTCAGCCCTGACTTCCGACGAAGGTCCCCCAGACCCTGTTGCGGACCTGCTTGCTGTCGTTAGAGCAGTGTCATCTCTATACCAAGCCACTCGGGGTAACGGAGAACCTAGGAAAAGAAAATTATGAAAAGAAAATTTTCAGAAGAAATGTTTACATTATAGTGAAAATTATTTAATTATCAATAAAATATTGTGAATTTTATATCGAATGGAAAAACAAGTACTGAGTTGTTTTTCCAACATGCCCTTTTAATGTCTTTTTCGGCCGACTATTGTGAATTCATCAAATTTATTAAATGCCCTTAACTGGACAGTTGTAAATAAAATAGACAATAAAAAATGGCTAAAATTTAATTATAAGAAGATTGTAAAAATTTACGCTATAAAGCTAATTGAGTCATTAATTAGATATGATATAATGTATGTAAAGATTGCTGTAGACCAAAACAAATTAAATTTAAAATAAATGTTGAAAGAAAATTTCATTTAGTCATACCAAATAATTCTATGTATTGAAAATACAATAACCGTGTGTGTTACGAATACCATTGAATCTACACTATAGAAAAAGTCTTTATTTCTAAACTATATTAGAACTTTTAAAAGTTCAACACAAGTTTTTCATAGTTCCAACGCTGCTGAAAATTTTACTTTATTTTACTTTTTTGTACTTTTAGTTTTTCTGAATGAAATACTTTGAAAGGAAATAACTTTGCGTGTTACTTGTTAATATAAATATTTTATTTAAAAATTCACCAATAAAATACTACACAATGTATGTAAAAAGTTTTTGCTATTTATTAGAGAATAGAATATAAAGAAAGTAAATATATCTGCTTATGTTTAATTAATACGATTGTAAAACACCAAAAGGGAAACAAAAACCTGGAATATTTAAATAATTACTACAAACAAAAATAATTATCTTTGCAATAAAATAAAATACCATACAGATTTATGATTATTGGCTTTATCATGCTCAGAAATAAGAAAAGATAGTATAGTAACTTATATGTAAAAATTTATTTATGAAACAATAACCAGTGGCCGCGTTTACTTTAAAGCACTAATTCTATTAGGGGAGATAGGTAGGAGTTTGTAACAGGGGTATGTAGAAACAGGCATTTTGCAATAAGATCTTAAGCATAGTTAAAACATTTTTGTGTCTCGATTGAACATGTAAACCGTCCTGCATAAGTGCATAATATTGTCATAGATACTGTTCCGCAGTAAACAGAACTGTGCATGAGCGTCATTTTCGACATGTAATATGAAAATGAGATCTATCATAAAATTTCGGTTTGCGTTATTATTGAGTATTTTTAAAATTTCTATACCTTATCGATTCAAATTTAGTAATCTTTGATAATGTACAAGAATGTTTGTGGTTGCTAAAAAATTTAAGTAGTTATCTTGATTAATGTGAAATTAACACAACTGGCATTAGTTGAACAAAACCTTGGGGCTAAGTGTAAGATACAATAATTATTTGGAGATTCGAGGGAATATATTTTATTTGTACTATGATATTGATTGCAGTTTACGCTGATTTATGATAAACATTTATTTTAAAGTATCAATATATATTTTATACGCATTTATTTTTAGCGTTGATTTATAAAAAGAATTACTCAAACAAGTGAATCTTTTGTAAAAAATTAATTTTGAGAGGCATTCTTGTCATTTTGTGCCGTTACTACTTGCTCCGGTAGATGTTTCCATTAACCAATCAATTGTGAAATATTAAACAACAGTTGTGAAATTATTTTTACTTGATTCGGTAGAGGAATAATTGGGTATATGACGTATCCATCTTCATTATGTAAAAAATCTGTTGACCTTAAGATATATTGATTTAAAAAATAACTACTACAATTTGTTAGTTTCCCTATATATATATATATATATATATATATATATATATATATATATATAATTAACACTATACTTTCGTGTTCAACAATTTATTGAATATTATACTTGAAAATTATGAAATGATGAAACCATTGCGATCTGGTGACTGTTGGAAAAATTAAGAAATACTTAGTATGTGTTTTGAACTGAGGCTATACTGATGAACATTTTGTTTTATTTACCTCCAAATACGTGACAAGTCAACGTGAGCGAATCTCCTTCATTATAGGGTCCCACGACTGAGGCTCTGTCCACGCCTGCTTCATCTTTTATAACAATTCTATGAGGAGGCACTGAAACAAGAATTTAATTAAATTATATAATATATATATATATATATATATATATATATATATATATGTACTATCGCATTGCATCATTGCACGGGTGTCGTCTTTAGACATCATGCAATGTGCCCACTTTTAGATAGCTATTGGAAACTCTAATTTTAAATTGTTAATTTTAGTTCTTTAGTTCTTTTGACATGTAATTTTCATTTCTAGATATATTTTTATTGAAAATGGTTGAACAATATTAAAATACGCTGATGGTCATGTTTCATTCAGTAGCGCTATTTGAAAACACGCTGTTCCATACAGCAGTATCACTTCTATGAAAAACACTCTCGTAACGAAAGGATTAATATTAAACTAGTTGGTATTGGTATTTAGCCTTGAGGCAAGTTACATTAACTTCCCGATAAGTGTAAATAATCGACTTAATCAATAATAAACAAATTAATTTATGAGTGATTAGAAGTATTCCGAGTGAATTTATTACACATAATTGAAAACGAACGAACACGTTAACTCGGAGTATTTTCTAGAAGCAAATTTTCGATTTTTATATTCAAACCAGTTTCCGTAGGACTTTAATGGTTTATTAATACCAGGTACTCTAACGTTGTACTAAATAAATCATCTAATTTCAATTTTAACAAACGTCAACAAAACTACTCATTTTCTCAAACTTTGATGAATTTTTAAAATAAACTACTTGTCTTAAGGCCGTAATATTTCAGTAAGTTCTATAAGACCATGATATACATCGCCAAAGAAAGTTTCATAAAAATCGGCTTAATTTTTTTTTCAACAGTTAATTACAAGAAAACGGCTCAGTAGATTTTCACCTAAAACTAATCAGTATCATTCTCAACTAATATCTTTCGAACAGTTTTTGATTTTTTAAAATCGATTCGGTAGAATGAGCTTAAATGTGGACAAAAAGTTTAACACTCTTTTTCAAATTACAAAAAAACGGCTCGGCAGATCGTCTCACAAAACTATAGTGCGTCTGACAAACTATAGTGCTCATTGAGTTACATCGAATGGCTTTTAAATTTCTGAAATCGGTTCAGGCGTTTTTGAGCAAACGTCGATGAAAAGTCTAATTTTGACAAATGCCAAAAAAATGATACCAATTTCTGCAAACTTTGACGAATTTTTAAAGCTAAACAAGTTGTTGCAGGGCGTTAATATTTTAGTATGATCTAGAAGACTATGATATCTACCGTCAAAAAAATCATTAAAATCGTCGTTTTTTTTAAAAAAATTTGAATTTTCAAAATCGATTCAGAATTGCGAGCTAAAACGCGGACGAAAAATTTTTCACTTTTCTGCGATTTACAACGAAACGGCCCGGCCGATTTTTGCTCAAAACTCAAGAACCCTAGTCGTCATCGAGATACATCGAATGGCTTTTAAATTTTTGAAATCGGTCCAGCCGTTTCTGAGAAAACGTTGATTTACGGCAAAAAATCTGTTTACACACGCACACACACATACTTTTTCCAAATTTGGTCTCATTCGATTCAGAATGGCTTGTAACGTCGAGAAAACATAAAATTAGCGAATCGGATTTTTTTATGAAAACATAAACCTCTCGTTCGGGAAGTTAAAAATCAATGCACAATTAGCTATTTGATATAAATACTTGTTTCCATGGCAAATTTAAAAACCCCCTCCAAAAAGCAACTTTTAAGATGTAAATGTGATCCAGAAAACAAATTCACGCGTGACCTTTAACACATAATAGAGCGTCGTCCAAAGATCGATATTCAATTCGGATTTAATACGGCATGTAAACGCTTTTGCGAATATGATACTTATTTTTCATTCATCCGTAAATCTTACAGAAAATTCATTTCGTGTTTATTGCACTACCCTTCGACGTCGCCTGCTCCCTTATGCGACCTTTATACCTTGAAGGCAGCCCTTTTAAGGTCGCATTAAGGAAGCCTTCTCTATAATTCTGTAGCCCTGCAGAGCCCATAGTCTGTATGCTATTATAGGAATGAGAATAAGAACAAAATATTCGTTTTTATAATCGATGTTACAAAATTTCTCAATATATAAAATCATATGATAGATTATTAAAAGCAAAAAAATAGTGGTAATAGTAGTTTATGAAAAATTCCCATAGATTAATGTTTATACTAAAACAATAATTTTTAATTTCAAAACTTTTTCTAAACATGACTATATACTGCTTAACATAAATTAAATTCAAAAATCAAATGAATAAAACTAAATTGACGAATTGACAGGAATCAGATAACAAATAAAAAATAGAATTCTAAAATTTCTACATCGTCGAAATCGTCGACGAAAATTTGAACCGAACTCACACATACATCCACATTTTCTAAGATGTGCCAAAATGTTCAGAAACCTCTGAAACGTGAAGATATATTAACATTTTCATTTTCAATATTTTTGTGATTCTCATATATTGAAACATGCCATATTATAAAAAGATATAATTTTCATTATTGTGCAGATTACAATTATTATTTAATTATTAGTTTGACTTTTAAGCAACATTAAAATTACATAAAACTATTTCCATTTGATGCATATGCAATTAAGTACACTTTGATTATATTTCCAATCACATTAATGAAATTCAATATCGAATTCCATATAAATATAATCAAATCACATTGTGATACATACATTGCATTACACAAATTTGTGAATTTCATTAAATCAACGTAGTTAACGAATCAAATAAAATCATTTACAAAATGCCATCTAATTGTTTCAATTAATTTGATATGAAATCCAATCCGAAACAGTATTAGGTTTACTCAAATTAAATATTTCGTTATAATTACATGCCACTTGTGACAAATGTGTTGGAATTATTGCATGATATAAATTTACATCAAAGAACATTCGGTCGCAATACATTAAATGCCCTTGGCTGTTTAATGCATTTGAAATTATAGAACAATTTGCAAATTGATTGTGCACATGTAATCGGTAATATCTAATTAGTCTGGCTTACTTGCCAATAATGTTTTGAACTCTGCTTTGAAACCTAGAAACCATAAATTTATAAATTACAACATTATATTTCTTCAGTAAAATTTCTCTCGAAATACTGATGATGAGATCTGCTCATAATGCTTTTTTGGTTAATCAGATCTTCAACTTAAATACAAGAGCAACTTCAGTTGTCTCTATTGTTGATAATACTGAAACTTAAAAAGTGTATCTATCTATCGGGTCAACTGGTAGTTGCTTTCTAAAACTCGTCTTGATTAAGGAAAAGATTCATCATAACTCATATTATTGTTTATATTAATGTTGATCGATTTATATTAATTCGAAATTATGAAAATTAAAAAATAGCTATACACAAGGTGCTTAGGAGTATTCAGAAATGTTTTTCACAGTTATTAGCCTATTTAATATTTTTTAATATCATAATATAAGCTTAAAATTATTAACTTCCCGTAGGGTAAGTTATAGTAATCGCAAAAAAATCGAAAATGAAAATTTTTATATATCTTTACGTTTCAGAGGTTTCTGAACATTTTGGCATACCTTAGAAAAAATGGATGTATGTGTGTGTGTGTGTGTGTGTGTGTGTGTATGTATGTGTGTGTATGTATGTGCGGATACAAATTTTCGTCGACGATTTCGGGAACACGGATCAACCGATTTGAATAATTCAAAAAGCATTCGATTCGTATTGATAAGGAGACGTGCTGATTAGTTTTTGGCGAAGGCAAGTCTAGCCGTTCCGAAGATACGGGGCAAAAAATGCCGAAAACGGTAACTCAGTTTTTAAAGAACGGAGCGTCCGATTTTAATAATTCAAAAAACATTTTACTTGTATTGACATGGTGAAGAATTGATCAAATTTTCATGAAGGCAGGTCTAGCGGTTTCGGAGATCTAACGAAAAAAGTAAAAAAAAATGCCATTTCGCGGTCAAAAATGATCATTAGACATATGCACATCAAATTATCAGATATTTTATAGAGATTTTAACAATAAGTATGAATTTTGTTTACATTCCTATGGGTTCCGTACCAATGTTTATTCGTTAGACAGCGACGCGGCGCTTACGCGCTTTATATTTTGTTTCTATGCAGTTGCGGCAGTACGATTGCTTTGAAAAAAAGTTCAGATCTTCCAAAATATGTCAAAATTTAAAAAAAATTTTTTTTCAGAAAAAAAAAAATTTAAAAATTTTTTTTAGAATTTTTTTAAAAAAAAAAATTTTTTTTTCAAGAAAAAGTAATTCTTTGTCCAATTTATAGTTTCTCAAAAATCTTATTCTTGCAAAGTAAAATTTTTTCAAAAATGTTAATCGTTTTTAAAAAAATAATAATTTTTGGTACGGGAAGTTTCAGCAATTTGCCTTAAGGCACGATGCCCTAATTGCCTTAAGACAGAATTCCACTTACAGCTAGTTAAAAATTTATTTGAACATATAAAAAACATATATTCTATAATAACATTTATTAACTTCCCGAAGGAGAAGTTTGTGTTTTCATAAAAAAATCCGATTCGCTAATTTTATGTTTTCTCGACGTTACAAGCCATTCTGAATCGAATGAGACCAAATTTGGAAAAAGTATGTGTGTGTGTGTGTGTGCGTGTGCACTAACAGATTTTTTGCCGTAAATCGCCGTTTCCTCAAAAACGGCTAGACCGATTTCGAAATTTTAAAAGCCATTAGATGTATCTCGATGAGGACTATTGTTTGTCAGTTTTGTGCGACGATTGGCCAAGCCGTTTCTTCGTAAATAGCAGAACAGTGAAAAGTTTTCGTCCACGTTTTAGCCCGCAATTCTAAATCGATTTTGAAAATTCAAAATTTGTTCGAAAGATATTGGTTGGAAATCGACCTGATTAGTTTTTGGTAGAGATCGGCCGGGCCATTTTCTTGTAATAAGATGTTAAAAAATTTTCTCCGTTTATTCTTTAAAATATTATTATTTTTTTAATGGTAGATACCATAGTCTTCTAGATCATACTAAAATATTACAATCCTACGAC